TCACTTTCTGTATGGTTAATACTTTAAATGTTAAAACAAGCAGAAACAACCCATGTACAATAATAATGATGTTTTGTAACCAAATGGGGAAGTGCGCCTTGTTTTCGTTTGGTGTTGATTAAAGAGAGAGTGTATATGTTAATAATAATACTGTTATTTGTACATTAATGACGCCTTGGTTGTTGGTTGTAATTGTTTATATATAATAAACATACAGAGTATTACAAGCTTTGAATGTATGCTTGCAATTTTAGACATATACATTTGGTTTAATACAGCATATTCGTTTTCGAGATATAACAAGTATTTTCACAATCAGGTAGCCGTGTTCAATCAATGTGTTTGAATATCAAATTTTTGCTTTATATATTGTTTATTTTTCTATTTTTAAATTTCTTATTTATCATCTACCAAAAACACAGTAGTCTATTAACACAATGTCGAAATACAAGCTAATTGGATCTTTGTATGCTATCTCTTGACTTCTTCGATGTTTTAAATTGTATTCAAATATATGTTAATGGTTTTATTATAGTTTTCAAAATAATATCAAACAAATATTAAATAATATTTTTGTAGTCCATGTTTCTATTCAAAAAAAATCAAAACAATGCCACCACTTTTCAGTTTCTTTGTTATCCAATTGTTTGGATTGTTATTTTATTTGAATATTAAAATCAAAGCATTTAAAATTGAAATAGAAGGTATTTTATATAAAAATACACTTTTTTTATTTTTTAAAATAAACAGTTTTGTTTTTAAAAATATATATTCCAATGTTTAATTGATGTCGTTGTTGCAATTAGGTGTGATATTTTGGTGATTTTAGAACCTCCTCGAAAATTAATTTTATTTACTATTTTATTTTTACTATTATATATTTACTTATATATACTATTAAAAACCTATTCAACTTATTTTTAAATAAAAAATATTTTTTTGTTTTTTTGTATTTTAAAAATAAAGTAACTGTTATTTGAAAAGTCAAAAAATAAAATATGTCTTTAAAAAAAAACAACAAAATATTGGTTTTCATTCAATTCCAACTATTTCATTATTCCAAAAATACAATTTAACAAGTTTAACAAAATTATTATAATTATTAATTATTTGAATCAAAATACAATAATTTTTGTTGTTAAACTAAATTATACTAACAACAACACTTTTTATTGATATAATTGTAAT